TCATGACTTTTTTCTGTTCTGGCTGGCAGTTCTAAATACAGTAAATATGTTTTGGTTTGAAATGTAGGCTTACGCAGCTCCAGTTGAAAGATCACACAGATGAGGTGGGTGGAGAAAATTACATTTGTCTCCACTTCAAAACTGTTCAAAATCCTTGAGGAAGCTGCTTCCCAAGAGAGTTTGGAGACAAGACTATGGCAGATAAGGTTATCTGAATCTCTGAAGACCATTACTGATTTTGCTTCTCAATTTGTTCCCCTAATGACAGAAGCTATTTTTTTCCTTTTCACCCAGATATTTTTAACTATCTATCATTGGTTTCTTCACTGTCGAAAAAGATGAAATGATTTATTTTTTCTTTGGAGCTTTAATTGTTCCACGGCTATTAAAAAACAAAAACAACAACAAAAATCCAAAACCTCGTTAGTTACTTGTTTTCTCAGTTTGTGTTTGTTTATTGTCTTCATGAGAATTTATCAGTGTTTCTTTGTTGATCAGAAGACATATAAAGTATCATAGTATCAAAGTATCATAGAGTCATAGAATCATAAATTGGCATGGGTTGAAGTGACACTAAAGACCATCGAGTTCTAGCCCCCCCTTCATGGACAGGGTTGCTAACTGCTAGATCAGAGTGCCCAGGGCCCCATCTAACCTGGTCTTGAATACCTCCAAGGTGGGACATCCACAGCTTCTGTGAGCAGCCCATTCCTGTGCCTCACCGCCCTCAGTAAAAAATATCTTCCTAATATCTCAGCTGAATCTCCCCTCTCAGTTTAAAGCCATTCTTCCTTGCCCTGTCACTATCAGAACGTGTAAAAGTCAGTCTCCATCTTGTTTATAAGCTCCTTTTAAGCACTGAAAGGCTGCAATGAAGTCTCCCCAGAGTCAGGATGAATAAGCCCAGTCCCCTTAGCCTTTCGTGGGGCCTCCTCTGGACTTGCTCCAACACCTTTGTGTCTTTCTTGTACTGGGAGCCCCAGGCCTGAATGCATTCTTCCAGGTGGGAGCTCACGAGGCAGAGAGAGACAATCACCTCCCTCGCCTTCCTGGCCACCCATCTTTTGATGCACTCCAGGATACAGTTGGCTTCTGGGCTGCATGTGCACACTGCTGGCTTATGTTCAACTTTTCATCCGTCAGGACCCCCAAGTCCTTATTTGCAGGTCTGCTCTCAATGAATTCTTCTCCCAGTCTGTACTTGACCACAACCCTCTAGCTTATCCACTGAATAGTCCACCCTCCAAATCCATATTTTTCCAATTTGATAATGATTTTTCCAATGAGATAATGAAATCATAAGAGACCACATTAAATGCTCTGCTCCATTCCTTTGTCCCTAAGGACAGCTTCCCAGGGGATAGCATCCAATAATTCCTTAAACAGCGGGAAGTTCATGCTCCTAACTGCTTTTTACTAAGTCATATTCTTTGAGATCACACAGATCAGGTAGATATGGAAGATATTTTTTCTTCCCCTTAGCATTGTTCTGCTCCTTTCTGTTTCAGGAACTCAACACACACCTTGATGCTGGACCCAGTGACACAGTTTCTTTACTGGAAGTTTCTCCTTGTGTGCTTCCAGCTTGCAACTTCCAATTGTCCCTCCATGTCTCTTTTGATGTTACTTTTGACATATCCAGCTGTCCACTTCTTCTTCATTGCCTCCAAAACTAACTTTCTGCTGTACCTTCTAAGTTTCTTTTGATAGTTACACTCAGTGATGTGATCTGTATGTCCTTAACCTCAAGCATCATAGCTTTATGATGATCTTTGTTATTTCTAATGTCGTAATTATGTCTACTCATACCTTGTTTCCCACTGTTTCTTAAAGTTTTCCCTTTTAGTATTTCTGGAAGCTGCCCTAACAGTCTGTGCTCACTCTTGCCAACATCATACTAGCCCTGTTTGGACCACAGCACTCTTCACAGATATTTTTATGTTTGCTTGTTCTGTCCTTGATAAAATACATTTTTTTTTTTAAATCTGAAACATACCTTTTGCAAAACTGTCCCTCTCTGGCTCTATTTCTCTAATACTAGTTATTTTTAGCAAAAAGAGAAACCATCAAATACTGGGTTTTCTCAGACAGCTGCATGGCATTCTGCTGGGTTTTTTTTTAAGTATTTTTACCCCATGCTTCGCGCTCTTCCTTGCCAGTTCTTGAAAATTGAACTGACAGTGTCAAAGCATTCGTATTTATAAGGTGCCGCTCCCCAGTAAGATTTTCATGTTGTCTTTGAATAGGCTTTTATTAACTCTGAAAGCATTTGAATGAATAATGCAAGTGTTAGCATGCAAAGAAATGTTCCTGACGGAATCTGAAAATGTCCCTTTTACAGGAGCATCATGACCTTTTTTTCATCAGAAAATCTGTTCTGTATTTGTATTGTTTATTCATAATATAAGTAGCCGAGATTGTTCGTGAGACATTCGGATTAAAGGGACACTAACAAGTAATTGAAACTTTAAAAAGTGTTACTTAGCATGTTTAAATGTGAGTACTGTTCTCTCGTATTTAAATGCAGGTATGCATTCAAGATCTGCACGCTCCGTGATGCTTCAGGATAATTTGTGTGCAGTGAAAATTGTGAGGCTTACAGTCTGTTGTTAGAGCAGTACTTTCTCCCCTCATGATCCCATTTTCCTATTGTCAGTTTTCTCAGACTTTTACCATGACATTAATGCTGTCAGATATTCATACATAAATCTTCTGTTCCTTCTTTGAGTGACTTGTGTATGTCTGTGCAGTCTGCATCTTACAGACCAACTGTTGTGTAAGTGTGACTTGCCTTTTGCCGTAAATGAACGGTAAAAGTGACTGAGCAAGCCTATGGGTAGTTGTTATGGATGGTGCTATTATGTAGGTGACGACAGCCAAAAAGAGAGCTGGGCAAGACATGGGAATAGGGAGCTTCATGGAGAGGCTGGTACTTTCCAGCAGTCCTTTGGCAAAGAGCAGTCCTCAGCACGTGGCTACAGCCGCTTGATTACGGAGAACCAAATGGGAGCTCCATCCGTTCTTCTCTGTTTTCTTTCAGACACAGCAATTCTTTCTAACCCAGTGTTCCCCTAAGGCATCACTCTCATTCTCCAAAGTTGTATTCCTCAGCTTGCACCTCCTCCAGACACCACCAGTATTTCTCTGAGTATTTTCCCTTCATAGAGGCCCCAAAATCATTAGTGCCCAAACTTCCCCCTTCTTTAGCCCCTTTCCCATCTATAAAGTTGGATTCACATGCACCTGGAGATTCAGCCATCTCTTTCAACTGTTCAGTAACTCCATTTTCTATGTCTGAGCGCTCTGCCACCAGTAAGCCATTCTTCCATAGCTTCGTCACCCATCTTTTGCATCAAGCCTCTCCCAGGAGAAAGGAGATCAGGTTTATAGCGACAGTGGGCTTTAAAGACAAAGAAGGGGTGTGGGAATTACTTACTATCAACTCAGGTGGGAGCAGGGTTGGAAGATATGTCTGCAAAAACCTGCTGACAGTACGAGAATTATCCTGGCTTGCTGATGTTTTTCCTGTGTGTCAACTTTTCCAAGCTGTACAAACCTTGAGGGTTGAGCACCAAGGTTGAGCAAGTTTTTAAATGCAGTGCCATTGTTCCCGTAGCTTGTGTCATTACCCAGAAAGTAAGGGGGAAAAACAGCCTGATTTGAATTTTCAGAAAACAGTGTCTGTCTGGTTCATCAAAACCTACTGTTTTTAATCCCTTATGAGAGACCTGTCAGGATTGCTGGTGCAATGGGACTGGAATTGGCTGAGAAAACTGAGAAGCATTGTAAGAAAAAGAAGAAGAGGATGCAAAGTAAGAGAAGACCGGAGAAAATACCTCATAGTTCTTCCCAGGACAGAAGAAACATGGGAACAATTGGTCAGAGATCCTGGGGAGACAGGGATCAGATGAGGATGTGATTAGGGAAACAGTGAGTGTAGGAAAAGAGAAAGATCAAGACTGCATATATTAAGAGGAACATGAAAATCAGACCTGTGTATACTGGTTACGATTTGGAGGGCTGAAGACTTAGAACATGAAGAGTAGGTCCCAGCATGGGGAAGTAGAGGGACAGAAACTGTGACAGGGATCAGTTGCAGAAAGATGGAGAAAAGTGTCTGCTCGAGTGTGCTTCATGGAATCTTTTTCCTGGATTCCTTTTTCTTTCATCTTCTAAGCAGTTTGCTGAACATCTGGTGACTATAAGCATGAAGAGCTATGCTTTTTAATATCTTGTAGACTAAATTAGTATATTTATTACAGCAAAGCATATAATAATCTTTATTTTTTAGCATTTTATAAGTTATAATATATATATATTTTTTTAAATCAAAATAGTTCATTACATAGTTTAAACAGGAGAAAAAATGTAACAATCTGAAAGACTCAGATTTCTTTAATTCTATTCCTTTGGAGTGATTTTTTCCTCTCAAGTTAAAAGATACATTTTATATTATAGACTGACAAAGTAACTGGCATAAATTATTTCATGAAACCGAAACTGTGCCTGATACACATTCTGAGATGACAGCAGCCACCTTTTGCAAGTTTCTTTTGTCAAAAGTTACCTCACTTGCCATAGAGAAAAGGTTGTGGCATTCATCTCTGATGTGATATGAAGTGCATTTTAAAATACGTTTTACAAGGAAGGTAATCCAGGGATTCCTTTGATTTCACTTTTGGAAAGCTAGAATGTGTCGAGAGATGCTAAAAACAATCAAAAACCAAATTCTCTGAATCAATACCCTCAGTATAGGAGTGTCAAACCAGGTTTAGTAGCTGTTTTCTTGTTCCCTTCAGACAGGCAGGCTTATGGAAGTGGGATGGGTGGTGTGGAAGAATGGATAGTGGGTGAAAATGGTTGTAGTGCACCCTAAATATTTCATTTAGCTTTGAATTTCACCACTTATCGTTCCAAAAGAAAGCAGTGGAAATTGAAAAACAGCAGTAAAATAGAAGGAATGTAGTCTAAAATCCTCTGTTTGTGTTTCAAAATTGCAGCCCTGCATTTTGATGACATGGAACAGAGGATACCTGTGAGTGAATTTTTAAAATGAGAAATAGGGAAGACCCCGTGGGACTCAGCCATTTCTGTAACTGTATTCTTTTTGAAGCACCTTTCTCCAGAATAAAATGTTCGTTGCTTTGAACTTTAAAATAATAACTTGAGTAGTTTTAATGGAAAAAAGACTGCTTGCTAATTTGAGATCACACGCAATATTAAATATTGGATAGTTTAACAAAACGCTTTAATGTTTGCACCTATAATTTAGTGTTTGAATAAAATTCTTGATGCTGTTTAGTAAGCTGAAAATGCTTCCTCAACATGTGAAATTGCATGCCTGCAAAGCTGCTCTCCTTTTTTCCTGGTAGCAAATGGTGTAATTATGATCAAAAAATATTTTTCAGTTACAGTCTCCTTATTTTCACATGCTTATTGCTTTCTAAGTTAACTCCTTTGCTGTAGCCTGAAATGACTTTGATATTAAAAAATAACATTTCCTTCCCCAGCCTTCTTGAAAGTTAGCAAGAGCTGAAATATGCCATGCCATACCCTCCCCCTTCAATCTCATGGTGTAAAGATATATCTTTTTATTTCTTGTCATGGTAGTTTATAAATATGTTTTAAGGGGACGTATTAAAATGACTTACTTTGTGAAAATTATAAGCTGAAAGTCTTGACTGAAGAGTTCTGGGGTTTATTTCCTTTAATTTATTAAGATTTTAAGAGATGTAAAGCTTCAGTGGAAAGGGGAAAGGATTAAGATAAGGACCAGGTGGCCATAAAAGAGCTGTAGTTAGTCACAAGGAAGCTGCCATGTTGCTTGGGTTTGCAAACATACACTGTGCTACTTCTGTACTGTCAGAGAAAAAAAAAACCACGCTACTTTTAATGGAATAAAAGGACATAAATGTTTATTTTTTAATTTGCTTTTAAAGTGTCTTTAAGGAGTGTAAGCAGTGCTATCAAAGCTCCACTGTGAGTTTTGTCAGTGCTCCTACATATTTAATACGTCGGTGATGTATGGTTGCATAGACTTAATGTTCAAAGAAGATTTTTCTACTCGGTTCTCAAATTTCTTCTCCATGACAGTCTGAAGAAAAAGCATTGAAACAATTATTTGAGTTACCTCCAACTTAAGTCATACTCTGTAAATGGACACTTGAGGAGAGGTGTGCCTTTATTCCCAGCATTTTGCCCACTCCAGAACAAATGGAGAGAAGCCTGCGAGTTCTTGTTCAAACTACAGAAAGCTTTTTGGAACGCTTTGATCCATGGCTTAATTTCAGGTGAAGGTTTCTGGTGAGTACTTCAAATGGGTGCCCACATCACTTCCAGTACTGGCCTGGGTTGGGATCGTGGCTTGGTACCAGCCATGGTGAGTTCCTACCTCAGGCAGGGTGCTTGTTGGAGTATCTCCAGCCACAACTGACGTTCTCAAAGAGTTAAAGATGATAGTTCTTGTGAGGAAAGGGTTATTAGTGGAAAAGAATAGTTTGGCTTTAAGCTCTCAGTGTCTGTTTATATTTTGGAGTATGTCTGAGCAAGAAAATTGGGTATTGTTTTTAAAAAGAAGCTGCTCCTAGGTGGTTAGGATGTTGATAAAGTATGATTGATAGCAAGGGGATTCAGAGAACAGCTGTGCTCTGGGATAGTGCCATTTAGGAGGAAGCAGAGAAAATAAATGCTTTCTCATGTGGATGTGTGTTATGTGTAGAAGTGTTGTAGGATATAGGGATCTGAGTGAAATACCTGTCCCATGTGCTTTATCTCCATGAATTCAGTTCTGTCATTCTCTTCTGATGACATTTTATTAAAAAGTCATATAGAAGTAGGGAAAGATTTGACTACTTGCAAAAGAATTTTTTAGCATATTACCATACCTTGTATATACATATACATGCAAGCAAATTTTCTTTGCTTCAAAGTGAATTTAATACTTTCACCTGCCACTAAGAAGTAGTAGAGTAAAAACGTGTGCATCCTTGACAAGCTTCTCATGTGGGGGTTGGGTGATGGTTAGTCGTTCCTGCCAATGGTCATGAGATAGGATGGTCTTGAATACCAGCATTTTTACTCAAAAATACAGCAAGTCCTTTTGCAGAATGGTGTAGACAGCTTCTTTCCTTTTACACTGGTGTTCTGGGTGTACTGGGACACAGTTTCTGAAAATAATGAAATGCCTGCTTTGTTTCTGGGTCCTGCTTAAAGCATCTGCTTTAAATGTAGTCTAGTTTTATCTGTTTTAGGATAAATACCTTCATGGATAGAATATGATTACTCTGCATAGAGCAGCCTATCATTTCATCTTGACCTAAATGTGGTGGATGGACCACCACTGCAAGTTGTATTGCTCTTTCTATTTTATCTACAACTTCTTGTTTATTCTAATGTTGCTTTAGTTGTAGGGGACATCTGTCATAAACCTAAATGTTTATATTCACACAAATTGGCAGTTGTGTCAGCTTCTTAAAGTGATGTTCTTCAGGATCTCTGTAATCAGATGTTCTTTGACTGGAAAATGTTCTTTAATAGATGGGGTTAGCATGGTTAAAGTTATCTGGATTGTAGTGTTTTTTACAAAAGTAGAGTCGCTTGGATTTTCCTTACAGATGTATGCAAAAGTCATGACTGAAAACTTGAGGAGAGTCCTGTATAAACTGTACAGCAAAGTTTTTGTAATACTAAAGTGGGGGTGTTGAGCTTAATATGTTTTATTAAATCTAATTTATTTATGAATTCTGAGAAGTAGTTTCTGCTCAGCTTTCCCTCATTGGCTTTTCTGATTCCGAATAGCACTTTTAAAGTTTTGATAAGAATAAAATAATTCCATCTATGCTGTGAAACACTCCTATAGATTAGCAAACAGACCAAAAGGAGCTGTTGAATGATGAAAGTAATATTTTGTATTCCAGTTAGAGATGTGTAACTCAGTATCTTCCTTGCTTTACACTGCCAAATATAGTGAGGATGTCCAATTCCATTCTAAGCCTCATTCAGTTCAATATTGCTTAGAAAAGCATTGGACTCTGAACAGTTTCAGAACTCCATCTACTTTACACTGTTGGTGAGCTGCTTTTCCTGTAGAAGGGAGAAAGGGATTACTGGCCTCTTAACATTTGTCACAAGCCCACTACTTCTAGTATTAAGTTTCAGTAGGTTGGAAACATATCCTTCATCTTCCAAAAACAGCGCAGAATGCAGTAGTTCATGGCTCTGAATGTAGTGTCACTCAAGCTTTAATAATTTCATGTATCATCTTCTTTTCAGTGAATCTTGTATGGCGCTACTCTATACACAGTTTCCTTCATTTCTAGACTGTTTGCCTTCTCTTGTGCTTCATCCACTACTCACACTCATCAATAAAGGCAGACAGGTGTGGTTATCTATGCCAAAGATAGTATTAGGGATCAGGGTAGCTTGATGTATGAATGTTAAGGCACCCCATCTAGCCACCAGCTGTCAAAGAAGGTAGAGTTTGGATTAATACTAGAGAATTTCCTACAGATTTTGCACATTTTCCCAAATAGTAAAAATCACTAGCCAGCAGGTATCTTCATTTAAGGCTCTTCAGACATTGGCTGTGGGAAGTACTGAGAATCTTTCCTCTTTCTTCACCTTATCTCAAAACCTCCTGACATCTTTGGGGAACACTCTCTTTTAAATGAGCCAAGCAAATCTTGGCAGATACTTTCCATCCTTAGGGGTCTTATGCATTGTCTTTTCATTTTGTTTTGCCTTTATATTATGATTCTTAAATGTCACATGTTAGCTTTCATGGATTATTACTATCACTTATGAAACTGTTCTCTTTTGAAATGCAAACAGACAAAGGGATAGAATTGATCATACCCCTCATAAAATGTTCTCTGGCTTTGGTAGCTGTGCCATACTCTTCACCACAGCAGTTGTTACTCACATTTTGCAAATGTGGGCAAATAAATGTCTTCAATTTTATGGTTTTTTTTTTTAAAGAAAGTAGGTGGTGTTTCAAGTGTGTTGAGCGGAATGCAGGGGCAGCGCTGAGCTCTGCTCTGTGTGACAGCGACAGGGCCCGAGGGAACGGCATGGAGCTGCGTCAGGGGAGGGGCGGCTGGGGGTCAGGGACAGGGGCTGCACCACAGGGCGGTGGGCACGGAACGGGCTGCACAGGGCAGTGGGCACAGCATGAGTGCCTGAGTTCAGGGTGCTCTCAGACATAGGGTTTGGATTTTGGGTGCTGCTGTGTGGAGCCAGGAGTTGGTTTCTGTGATCCTTGTGGGTCCCTTCCAGCTCCAGTGTATTCTATAATTCTGTGACTTAAAGGGCAAACAAAAGGAGAAAAAAAAAAAAAGAGTAAATAAGACACAACTCTGTAGGCAGGGCAATAGTTGTAGCTTTAGAAGAGAGACTGTGACGAGAAATTTTCTTGCCTGAGGTCCAAAGTTAGAAATATTAGCAGTTATCTGGCTTTACACTTCCTTGATAACAGCAGTGTCACCACTGACCTAATGATGGCTTGTTCTCCCTTCAATGATGTGTTGCCCTGCATGATACCATATAGTAAAATACCACGATAGAAAACACAATTTCCTCTGTAATAACTGCTCTTCAGTGGGAGTTGGTAGTGTCTTCTCTTCCATGGGCAGGATTGCATCAAGGAAGAGAGGCTCTGCAGTGTTACGTAAGTCCCAGCAGATTCCTGCATAGAATTATTAACGTGTATCAACTTAATTTCTCAGTCACTGAGCATGTAAAGCTTTTCCATCTGGTATTTGTCTTTCCTCTTGGTGAAAACAGTTTCAGTGGCAGGTGAGGCTTGAAGAAGACTGTATGCAAAAAGAGACATACAAGTAAACACTGATGTTTTTGAGAAACTCGGTGTTTAGTTTTTTTTACACCAGAAGATCACTCGTTTAAGTGCTGATGCATTTTGGGTCAGACTTAAGTTCCATTTCAACATACTGTTTGCTATGGGGCTGCTACTTCTGTCTGTGGGTAGGAGAACAGCTGTAAGGAGATGCAAGACCATTGCTTAACAAAACTTACCTTTTTCCTCTTTTCCCCTTTTCTTTGCAGCAAGTATCAGAAAGGAACCCGAGTGCGCCTGAGACTGCTGGATCTTGAACTCACATCTCGGTTCCTGGGAGCAACGACTGATACGACTTTGTTAGAAGCTGATGCGGTGCTGTTAGGGCTCGTGGAAAGCAAGCAAACAAAGCAAAAGGAGTAAATTTCATGTAAATAAATCTACTTTCTGCTTTAGAGCAAATTATACAAATGGAATGTTCACTCGGGAGAGAAACAAAAAGTTTCTTTCCGGTTGGTTATGTAAATAGTGAGATCAATAAAAGACAGTGAGCACATTGTACCCAATTCTTGCTCATTTTTTATTCACTCATCTTTCTAGCTATTTGCCTTTGCATTTAAATGTGGAAGATTAACTAAACTTCTTCAGGTAATATTAGTTGAACATTAGTCTTCTCATCCCAAATGGATGTTGGTTTGAGGCACTGTGTTTCCTGTTGCTGTGCTCCTTCTTCATGCTTCATGCAGAACAGTGTGAAGGGTTCCTCATTTCCAAGTTACAGTGCAAGGTATTTACTGCAGATATAGTCTTTGTCTCTGTTATATTACATCATTATTTTATCTTCATTTGCATTAAGGAATAGAGGTTATTCATTGCTTTAATTTGTTTTCTCATTTCCAAAGCATGTTAGTAAATTTTCTCTGGTTGTTAATGTAAACAATAAAAAAAAAAAGGCCAAACAACATGTTTCAACATAGTAGGCCAAATGCCTTAGATTTCTGCAAGTATAGTTAAGGTAAATATATAACGAGTACTTGAATGCACAAACAAAGAACCATACTATGTTTTTGATATCAAAGACCATTTTTGATTTCTGGTGTATTCGGGTCCGAATTCTGCACAGTCATTTGCAGTCTGTCCAGATGTATATAGATGTGTACAGATCTGTATAGATCCTAGCAGATGTGCTGAGGGCAGGTCAGTTTTACAACTTAACCACTGAATGATATTTCAGTCACATCAGGAAAGAGAAGGGGTCCCCAAACAGGCAGGATAGCAGAAAGCCAGCTGCAGGCTGCTGCAACTCAGGTACCTCTTTCATTGTCAAGATCTGTGGGAAACTTGGATGAGATGGCATCAGAAAGCAGAAGCTGGGGGTCATTCAGTTAAATTGTAGCTGGCCTGGTGGTCAGCTTTGCCTCCCAAACTCCAGAAGTGTTCTCCTGGTCCAAGAAATTTCAGGACACAAAGGTTGTAATCTGTTTAGAAATCTTTTCCGAAAGCATTGTCATTTTCTTTAAAGGTTGTCTTTGTTTCTTTTTTCATTTAATAGCATATGAAAGGAAAAGGGAAAGCAAAGCTTTTTGTATCTAGTTCCACAGCTTCAGTTGCCAAGTAGTTTGGTTCATCCTGATTCCTCTACCCAGACGAAAAATTTTATGGAAGAAACAAAATTCCTTTCCTACCTGTGCCTATTTGTAATGAGAAAAGAGTTTTAAGTGCAGGCTACTGAAAGTCTCTAAGGCACTTCTCATGCATGATCTGTCAAGAAGAATGCTGTAATATAGGGTATTTATTTGCTCAAATTACTGTGAGAAATCACATGGAAAATGCGTGATAGTTCTGAAGGGAATGGATTTGTTTTCATTTTTATAGTTTTGCAAACTGAAGTTGTATTTCTGAAATAAGCAGGGATCCAAGTAAAAGAGGAAGCAAGCAGTATGAGCTGCTTTTGTTGCATTAATTTGCTCACTCATCTCAATGAACCTACAGAAGGGAGTTTGAACATGAATCATTGTATGATTCTATGATTCTGTGGTTGGGTGTTAGCCTCTAGACACCACTGAAGTAGGGAAAGAAGGCCTTTTTAAGAGCCAGAAAGGGTTTAAAATATCAAAGAGAAATCTTTTCAAGTAACTCACCCTTACGCACTTAATCAACTTTCAACAAGGAAATTTAGAAGATATGTGTGTTAACTTTCTGGGGACATCCTATGAAGTTAAAGCTGGCTTTACAACAGGATATCAAAAAGGATGACTTTTAAACACTGTAGTTGTTGCTAAATGTATAATTTGCTTTTTCAAAAAGAGCTTTTTAGATGAATCTCTGTTTGGGGTAGCCTATGCCCATTACACATTGCCTCCGTTTTGCACAGCTCCCACGTAAACAATTACAGTGATAGAGCAGGGAATCCTGAAGTGTCTTTGTTGTGGGCTGTTTGTTTTGTTCTGGAATACCTACATACACCAAGAACATGCATAGACTGCATGCCCTTAGTGCAAACTAAGGTATCACCAATGTTGGTCATTACAGAACAACCATGATATTCTCAGTTTTTACTCAGCTCTTGTAGCAGAGCAGAAATGGACAACACAATCAGATATTTGTAGTGCCATCCCCACAGAATGACATCAAATGCAGCCCCCTTTTCTGCTAGTTACCACCTACCCCCAGGAGTTCCCTCTTTTCGCACAATCCTTTTGCTCCTTTTCTTTTACTTTTTCTGCTTCTGAATGCACACAAGTATTCATACAACCCATTCCCATAGAACAATGCACAGTCATGTCTCCTTATCCACATATTATGGATTCCTGAATGGCTTTGCATAGACCTCTTGCATGTATCAGTTTTATTTGGAGGTCATTATTTCATACGTGAGAATACTCATTTCTACCAACAGAAAGGAAGGGTAGGAGCTATCCCACCAGGTGCTGTGACATCGTGCCTGGATCCCAGCACTGCTTAGAATACTCTCCTCGAGTATACTAAGCATGTTATCAGCATGAACCCAGTAAATGCTGCTGATTCAATGTACTGAGAAATTGGGACATAAGAACATGCACTTAGTTGTAAGTAGAAGCACATCATTCTGCTGAGAATTCTTAGGTCAGCATAAGTGAAGGTCTTATCACATCTGACTATGTTCATAGGACTGTGAAATCAGGAATTTCTCTACAGAGCATTTTGTGTTTCTTCTACATTTTTTCATTTTGACTTACTCTGAAGCACTGATCAGATGGGTGTCGAAAGGTAGCTACTAAAATTCATCTTTTGGATTCTGCAGCTGAGAAGACATTTGATGTTAGCTCTTCAATGTGTTTTTCAGAGGCTTCTTTCCTGGAAGAGTCTTGACTTTTGGAAGTGTTTAAGGTTTGTTTCTCCTTGGAAAATTCTTGGGTAGCAACACAGACCCCACTTCAGTAAAATAATCTGTCCTCCATTCCGCTCCCATCGAGTACTGCTTTGTGTCACACCCGCATCTCTAAAATGACAAATGTGGATAGGTCCAGTTCAAGTATTGTAATTCATCCTTGGTGCAGTGTAAAAGTTACACTCTGATGTAATACTGAATGATGAGAGAACAGCACGGAACTCATCCTCAGCAGAGGAGAGACGGCCGCCTCCTCAGCCTTTATGTCCCGCTCCCACCCAGTGCCCTACATTCATTCATACGGGCATTGGTGTGCAGTGTGGTTCAGCAGCAAGCAGCTGCATTAGGTACCAAGCTTCACTGGTATGCAGCTCCAGATGTTCCCATGCATTTTGCTATGAGGTCACTTTCTAGGCGTACAACTGAAGTGCCCATGAACTTCCCTCTATCCCACGTTCACTTCTTGTTTCACAGAGGTACAACACCTGAGCACTTGCAGCACTCTTACAGATGTATGTATGAGCAGTGTTAGCTTCCATAAAAATGGAACCACAGCCACTCTGGATTTTAGCTGAAGCAATATTGTGTTATTTGGAAGAACATAGTAATTTTTTTCTGATTTTTTTTTCCTTTTATTTTAGGAATTGAACATCAAAACATCTTATATGCACTTGGAAAACAATAGCTTTCTTATGGTGTAGATTTGGAAGAAAAAATGAAAATAGTGAAATGCTCTTTTGATGACTGATGTGCCATGACAGGACCTGGTAAATCCTCTGGGCCTATCTGCCCTTTCATATTTGAGGCCTTAAGGTGATGAGATGGGGAAAAAGGGAAATGCTGAAAAAATCAGGCCTGCTACCAAGAGCAAATTAGCATCTTCCCACCAAAGCTTTGCCACTGAACTTGTTTCTGAAGAAAAGAATACTTAACGTTTTCTTTGGGGTATTCTGTAAAGCTGGGGCTCCTCCTCATTTCTTATTACTGTCCCATTTCTAACTGAGGCAAATCATTGTTCAACATTTTCTCTGGCATCATTATTCCCTTATGCTAGGAAGGCTTTCCAGTCTGTGCTGTGTCTAGAGAGCATTTTGCTGGGTGCAAGCATGCACTCTACATGTGCCTTTTAGTAAATTATGCATTCTGGGGAAGTGTTTATCACATATGAAGGGTCTAGACTTCCCAGATGAGACCATTACATCCTCATCTGGCCATAACCCAAAACAAATATTATGCCTCCCGTGACTGCATTAGACTAACATCAGTAAGTCCTTAAATACTCCCAAGTGTTCTTGTTTCCTCCTGGCTTGTGTCCTGTTCGATCAGAATGAAGCAGGCTTGTGCACTATGCTGCAGCTCTGATGAGGAAATGGGCCATTTGGTGGCATTTCGGCCCATTTGCTACACGCAGGTGAGACATGCAGCTGAGAGCTGCTTTCCTATGGGCAAGTGGATCCAAGCCATCCTCAGCCTTTTGGGTAGTTGCTGTAGCAGCCTGGCAACTTTGGGCAAACTTCTGAAAATCACAAGATATTTAAATTACTTTGGACATCTTTTTGCTTCCTTAGAAGTTAGAAGAAATGACTATTTTGCTGATGAGATACAGTGATAAAGTGTTAAGATGCCAAATAAGAAACGTTAAGGATTTGATTTACAAAGCAAGTTTGTTATGGATTTTTTTTTAAGTGTAAGAAATCATTTTTTGTTACAGAATTTAGCTAATATTATAAATCTCATTTGATACTGTTGGTGGTTGGTATCTTTGCTTTTCTCCTCAACCTTAGACATGCTTTAAGACATGGCACACACAGGAACTTGTGTTGTTTCAAGGTCTCTGTGCAGCAGCATAGAAAACAGAATTAAGGGCTCTAAGACTTTTATTACCAGGCAGAGGAGCGGTCATCTTCTCTTCATAATGATTCAACTGAATACAAATAAGTTTTAATACTAACTGAAGTTGAAGGCCAAAATCTAATGTGCCAATTATCAAAATATACAACCAGGAATGTCAGAGAATAGAGTTCAGGATGCAGCCTGACCTACCTTGCAAATGACTACGTGGACATTGTGTGGAACATCTTTGAATAACTGTGGCAACCTGAAGTTCCTGAGGACTGGAGGAAAGAAAATGTCACTCCTGTCTTCAGAAAGGGCCCAAAAGAACCTGTGCACCTGTACATGCTGTAGGCCA